CATTGTAAGCCAAGAACCCAAGTTAAAACGAATCTTATCATGTTAGAACTTACTTTTATAAAGATTTCAATGTATCGGTGACATTTTAAATTGCCTCAGCCTTTCTTTTTCAAACAAACTCGAGTACATAAAACAAGAAGAATAACGTGCTGATAACTTTTGATCAATTTCTTTTTGGGGGTACAAAATAATGTAACTTTTTTCTTATTTACGGCGGCATTTTTCTGACATGTGCCAGACGGTCAATAACCAAGACACCAGTATTTGACTATTAAATAAACTGAGAAGTGATAAATAAAAGCGCCAAGTGCCTTCAGAAGTGAAAATGAATCATGCCTAGAAAGTAGTGTTAATGGGGAAAAATAAAGAAGAGACTGCTCTTATACAACTTCTTAAAACACATTAAACAAAAAATTGTCCATGTGATGATGATAATGAGTTTCTCCTAAATTTGCCTCATTGTGTCAAACAAAAACTGAAAGACAAATGAAATTAGAAGAGCAAACAATATACCTTCACCTTACTGTGTATTGTATACTGACAAAGATTGAAAACCAGTATCAACAAGGCAAAAAGCTACTGGAACGCTCCACCTATGGTTCTTTGTGTATGGAAACATACAACCGACATCCGGCCGCAGTGCTCACCCGCCCTCAAACTCTGCAGCCAACCTCCGCAGGAGGCGGGGGCAGCTTGATCAGCCCCAACCCAGCCTTCAGAAACGACTCTCAACGTTGGCGGCGCGACCGGAAGTGACGTCAAGCTGCGACGCCAGCGCCTGCAGCTTGCCGCTGCGGGAGGCATTTGGTCAATCTGGAGACGGCGTCTTTCACCGGATGGTTGCTAGAGTGGGATCCTGACGGGAAAGAAGTCTTCCAGGGAGAAGCGGCGCAAACGAAGCGGTCAGGAGGCGGCGGCGGCCCTCGCGGCGCCGGACCTGGTCCCCGCCGTAGGCAGCAGTGGCAGTGGAAGCACCAGCGGCTGCGGGAGCGCAAGCGGCTGCGGGAGCGTCACCTGCTGTGGGAGCACTAGCGCGAGTGGAAGTGTCACCGGCGGCGGGAGCGGCAGCAGCTGCTGCGGTGGCAGCAGCGTGGAGCGCGGTGAGCGTAGGAAGCGGAGAAGCACTGACTCATCTTCCAGCGTCGCCGGCTCTCTGCAGCAGGTGCGTGCGCGTCTTTCTCGCCGCTTCTCGAAGCGGCCGCGTTTTCAGAAGGCGGGCGAAGAGCGGGATGTGACTGTGGGATGCGTAGCCTGGCGTCGCTCCTGTTAGCGCTGCGGTCCTACAGGATCCGGTGATGAAGTGCACGTTCCTAAGTTCCCTTGAACCCCACACTCCCACGACTTGAATTTAAAATTTCTGGCTTTGCTGATCGTCTGACCCACGTTGCCTTTAGCTCCTTCCACTCCTGTGGTCACCTTTCAGTTCAGTTAAGTTCAGTCGCTCAGTCGTGTCCGACTCTTTGCGAACCCATGAATCGCACCACGCCAGGCCTCCCTGTCCATCACCAATTCCTGGAGTTTACTCAAACTCATGTCCATCGCGTTGGTGATGCCATCCAGCCATCTCATCCTCTGTCGTCCCTTCTCCTCTTGCCCCCAATCCCTCCCAGCAACAGGGTCTTTTCCAATGAGTCAACTCTTCGCATGAGGTCGCCAAAGTCTTGGAGTTTCAGCTTCAGCATCAGTCCTTCCAATGAACACCCAGGACTGATCTCCTTTAGGATGGACTGGTTGGATCTCCTTGCAGGGTGGGCACCTTAGCCTCCCTGAAAAGTTTGGTTCAGGAACTAGCCTTCAGTGCCCTTGCAAGCCCCACTTTACTTCTCTTCATCTACTTGATACAAGATGAGAAAATTGAGGATCAAAGAGATTAAGGACGTTTACCCGTAGTTAGCAATTTGTTAATAACACCTACATTCGAATCCAATATGTGATTATAAAAGCCCTCTTTACTGTGGTACATATATACACAATGGAATATTACTCAGATATTAAAAGGAATGCATTTGAATCAGTTCTAATGAAGTGGATGAAACTGGAGCCTATTATACAGAGCGAAGTAAGTCAGAAAGGAAAACACCAATACAGTATATTAACACATATATATGAAATTTAGAAAGATGGTAACGATGGCCCTATATACGAGACAGCAAGAGAGACACAGATGTAAAGAACAGACTGTTGGACTCTGTGGGAGAAAGTGAGGGTGGGATGATTTGAGAGAATAGCATTGAAACATGTATATAATCATGTGTGAACTAGATCACCAGTCCAGGTTCGATGCATGAGGCAGGGTGCTCAGGGCTGGTGCACTGGGATGACCCAGAGGGATGGGATGGGGAGGGAGGTGGGAGGGAGGGTCAGGATGGGGGACACATGTACACCCATGGCTGATTCATGTGAATGTATGGCAAAAACCACCACAGTATTGTAAAGTAATTAGCCTCCAATTAAAATAAATAAAAAAACAAAAGAAATAAAACCCCTCTTTATGCCCCTTCGACCTGGCAAAATACTGCCGTTTAAAAAAAAAAAGTTTACTCACATTATAAGATGCAGGAAAAAAAATAAAAACACAAAAAAACCAATTACAGGACTGCATGCTTTAAATACATACAACACAAATGATGGGAAATGGAAGGCTTTCTTTATGCTTCCTCATTAATTGTTTGATACGCAGCCCCTTCGTTAACTCATCAGCCGTGATATTTCTTATTTTTTGTTATTTTGCATTATCTAAGGCTTTTTTCTTTTTTTTCAATCTTTTAGTGTAGTGTTGAACACAGGCATTCATAGCAGGCATTCTTTTCCCATTCCTTTTTGTAGTAGAAACAGTTTTTTAAATTTTATACCAGTAAGTCTATTTGTCATAGGTTCTGAAAGATATCTGATCAAGTTAAGAAAATTTTTAATTTCTGGTTTTCTGAGATTTTGTGGAGTTTTATCAGATACCTTTAGGGCATTCTGTTGAGGGGTCATACAGTTTTCTTCCTTTAATATGATAATTTATTGATAAATTGAATTGTCCTTGCTTTTTGAGATAAATCCTATTTGATTTGTTGATTTGGTGGTTGTACTTGACAGTAATTCAGTATTTTTATTAAATACTTTTGTGTTTATGTTAAGTTAAATCAGGTTATGGTTTTTATTTTTGTAGTTACCCTGTTTTGTTTTAGTATTGAGCTATGGATTGAGTTGGGAAAATGTAACAGTTTTTTTTTTTTTTCATGTATTCTAGAGTAGTTTATATCTTTCTCTCAAGAGTGTACTTGACTGTTGGACCCTACAGCTGTTTGGGTCTGGTAGATTTTTCTAGGGGTAGTGTTTTTTTCCTTAATGCCTCTCATCTTTTTTTCTTCCCCACTTTCTTTGATAGTTATAGGTATATTCAGTTTTTCTAGATTTAGTTTTGGATCAGTTCAGTTCAGTCAGTCAGTTGTATCCTACTCTTTGTGACCCCATGGACTGCAGCACACCAGGCTTCCCTTTCCATCACCAACTCCTAGAGCTTGCTCAAACTCATGTCCATCGAGTCGGTGATACCATCCAGCCATCTCATCCTCCGTCATCCCCTTCTCCTCCTGCCTTCAATTTTTCCCAGCGTCGGGGTCTTTTCCAGTGAGTCAGTTCTTTGCTTCAAGTGGCCAAAGTTTTGGAGTTTCAGCTTCAACATCAGTCTTTTCAATGAATATTTGGGACTGATTTCCTTCAGTATTGACTGGTGGGAGCTCCTTGCAATCCAAGGGACTCTCAAGAGTCTTCTCCAACACCATAGTTGAAAAGCATCAATACTTCGATGCTCAGCTTTCTTTATGGTCCAACTCTCACATGCATACATACTGGCAAAAACATAGCTTTGACTAGATGGACCTTTGTGGGCAAAGTGATGTCTCTGCTTTTTAATATGCTGTCTAGGTTTGTCATAGCTTTTCTTCTAAGGAGCAAGCATCATTTGATTTCATTTTTGGATATCACCATTCTTGCCTTAAATAGTTTGCATATTTTTAGTACTCTATTATTATGAGAAGACCAGTAGTAAGGACTGTGTAAGTATTTGCATACAGAACTAAATTGTACTTTTATGAGAAGTAGTTCATTGGGAAGTCTTACAAATAGGGAGGATGATTGTGTGTGCATTTATAAAATCCATTTTGGTGACAGTATACAAAACGGATTGGCAAGACCTTTGATTAGATGTAGGGAGTCCAGTGTGTGTGAACTCACTCACTCAGTCGTGTCTGACTCTTTGTGGCCATGGACTGTAGCCCACCAGGCTCCTCTGTGCATGGGTTTTTCCAGGCAAGAATACGGCAGTGGTTTGCCATTTCCTGTCCCAGGGGAATCTCCTGCATCCAGGGATCGAACCTGCGTCTCTTGGCAGGCAGGTTCTTTATCACTCATGCCACCTGGAGGTAATCTAGGCAAAAAGGATGTTGCCTTGGATCAGCATTCTGGCAGTAGACTTGAGAGACTGGATAGATTTGGAAAATAGGAGGCAAAGTTGATTGAATTATCTTAAATTACTTGCCTGCTTTGAATATGATTGGATATTTAACAGTTTTAAAAATGACAGTAGCTTCTGGTAAGCAGTGGTACTTAATTATATATGTGATTTGTAACATTTTGCTGCTGTTTCTTTTTAAGAATTAAGAAGAATTACCATACATACAAAAAATTCTTGGGTGAATGGTCTACTGGAGGAATATCGTATTCTTCAGAAGTCTGAAATTGTAGGAAATTATTCAGTATTGAGTACATTTCCATTTGTGTGTTGTAAGATATTATTATTTCTTCACTTTTTATCAATTTGCTGATAATTACAGCCTGGAGAGTAATGTCAAAGAATACTGAGTAATTAAATAGTCTTTTCTGTGGTTTTAAATAACTGATTTATGCAACCAAAGAATTTGGAGATGTTTAATAAAGATTTTATTAAATGATGTATGACTTTATAGATGTATTTTTATTGTTTAATGGTTCTTTATGTCTTTTAATTTTAGGAGACCAAATATCTTTTGCCACCTCTGGAAAAAGAGTTATTCTTGGCAGAGCACAGTGACCTTGAAGAAGGTGGATTAGACCTGACTGTGGCATTAAAACCAGTTAGTTTCTATATATCAGACAAAAAAGAAATGCTTCGGCAGTGTTTCTGTATCATAGGAGAGAAGAAGTTACAGAAGATGCTTCCTGATGTGTTAAAGGTACTTCATGACATACATTCGCAGGTTCCCCACTATATAGAAATATACAAAAACTTTCTTTGTAGCAGTCATTTTACTTAATGGAAATTATAATTGTGTGTTTTCAACTAAGCTACTTCAAAAAGATAAAGGGATTTTGCAGAACCATAATGGCTTTGTGTATTGAAAAATTTGCCAGAAAGAAATGGGACACTTTACCGTATTTAGGTAAGGAATTTTTTGACCTTCTGGGAATAATTCTATTAAATATTGGCAATTTAAGTAACTAGATTAGACATACACTGATTCTTTTCTTTTGCTTTAGGAAGTAGTATACTGCTGTGTAACCGTATGTAATAAAAGGAAGTAAGTGAAAGTGTTAGTCACTCTCATGTTAGACTCTTTGTGACCCCATGCACTGTAGCCCACCAGGCTCCTCTCTCCATGGAATTCTCCAGGCAAGAGTACTGGAGTGGGTTGCCGTTTCCTTCTCCAGGGTATCTTCCCAATCCAGGGATTGAACCCCAGGTCTTCCACGTTGCAGGCAGACTCTACCAACTGAGTCATCAGGGAAGACCACAGTATGCAATGATAGTTGGTAATATCCTGTATTTCATTAAATTCATAAATGTTTTTCTATGTTTATTTCTGAAAATTACTCAGAAACATATGTGGTGTTGTAATTTTACTGATAATGAAAAAAGACTTGGACAAGTTAAACCCAATAACATATATATCTTAAGATGAATGGAGCCAGGGCTTGAATATTTAAGCCTTTAGTGGTATTAGCCTAACATAATTAGGAGAAGATTCTTGAGAGTCCCTTGGACTGCAAGGAGATCCAGCCAGTCCATCCTAAAGGAAATCAATCCTGAATATTCACTGGAGGGACTGACGCTGAAGCTGAAACTCCAATACTTTGGCCACCTGATAAGAAGAGCTAACTCATTTGAAAAGACCCTGAGGCTGGGAATGATTGAGGGCAGGAAGAGAAGGGGATGACAGAGGATGAGATGGCTGGATGGCATCACCGACTCAACGGACATGGGTTTGGGTGAACTCCGCGAGTTGGTGATGGACAGGGAGGCCTGGCGTGCTGGGGTTCATGGAGTCACAAAGAGTCAGACACAACTGAGCGACTGAACTGAACTGAAATAGGCTGCTATTAACAGTATCTGGGCACCTGACTCACTCTTTAGTTTGTTCTTTCATAGTAAACATGACTTTATATATTCCAATTAAAACTATAAATTATAATGTTTGCTTGTTAACTGGCAGGTCTTCAGATTTTATCCCATAAAAAAGATTTTTGTGACTTTTCATTGGTTTGACTGCACAGCTTTGCTAAGCAAGACTTTTTTTGTTTTTTAAATGCTTGTTGTTTTCTAGTTTACTTTGGTGCTGTATTATATAAATGCATTTTTTAAAATATCATTTTCTTTAGAACTGTTCAATAGAAGAAATTAAAAGACTTTGCCAGGAACAGCTAGAGCTCCTGTCTGAAAAAAAAAATTTGAAGATTCTTGAGGGTAAGAATGAATATTTCTACCTTCTGGTAACTTACTATAGATATTTAATCCTGTATTAGCATAAATCATGAGGTATTTTTACTTGACTTCAGCTTTATTCTTAGTCATTAATTAATTAATATTTTTACTTCTCTTTATACAAAATTATAGTTTATATCTTAGAATAGCATCTCTGGAATGGACTTTTTGATGTATGTGAGGTTTTTCCAAATCAGTTATATAGGTAAGAACTTTTAAGTTTGTGTGAAAAAAAAAAAGAAAAAAGTTTATCCAAAATTCTATAAAAAATTAATTATTAAGAAGGCAAAGACTTCTTTTAAGATATTTTTTAGTTTTTTGCTTTCTCATTGCTTCTAATTATCCATTGAATACCATTTCTGCTCTAATAAGAGCCAAATGCAGAGTTAGAATAATTTCTTGCAAATTCCTGACATTTGTCTGTCTGCCTAAAGTAAGACTCTTCTTTGTGATACATTACCTATAGAATTTTGTGTTTTTAAGCTGGGATTTTTTTTTTTTTTTTGACTCTTCAAGGATTTTAGTACTAGCGTTACAAGAGAAGGAACAAAAAAATGGAGACTTTCAATTTCTAGAGATAACATCTTTTTAAAATGTAAAATGGTTTAATGGAATTTGTAACTGATAAAAGATGCGTAGATGTGTGTATAGTCTGTAAGTATATATATGTATATATACACATTCTCATTTATATACATTTTGTGCATTTATAGAATAGATAGATGGGATAGATACCTAAAAAGACATTTTAAATATAATAATTAAAACTGTCATCTTTCAACAGCTATCAGGTTTCTTAATCTGTCACTTTATAGATGAAGCCTTCTGTATAATGATAAGTTGCTCTGACTTTTTGTCTTATAAGCGTGTTTTCCATTTTTTGTTTTTTAATGTCATTCACCAGGTGACAATGGTTTGGACTCTGAAATGGAAGAAGCAGCAGATGACGGCTCTAAGATGGTATCTGATTTAGTTAATCAGTAAGTTAAAAGCATTTATTGTAATTTCAGAATTGCTTTATCATCTCTGGTGATTTCTTACCTCAAGAATGTGATTGTTTTTCTGTGTTATAGTTATATAAAGAGATTCAGCAATGTTGGATTGATTTTTTTACTTGTAGTGATTGGTCCTTTTGATTGGTGAGGATGGAATTAATTGCTTTGAGGATTAAGATAATTTTATTACACTACTGCTCAGAAACAGGACTGTAACAGTGCCAACACTGAAGCAGAATCACATCTCTCACTTGGAATTTGAATATATATACTACTACTGACACCCACTGTTTATTAAGTACTTACTATAACAAACATGTTAATAGTTTAGAAGACTTTATCTCACTGAATTCTCCTACATACCTCTTAATGTTTGGTGATAATAGCTTCTTTTCATGGATCAGATAGTAAGCTGGTTCATTTGATATCAGTTCAGTCAGTTCAGTCGCTCAGTGGTGTCCAATTTTTTGCGACCGCATGGACTGCAGCATGCCAGGTTTCCCTGTCCATCACCAACCCCAGGAGCTTGCTCAAACTCATGTCCATCAGGTTGGTGATGCTATCCAACCACCTCATCCTCTGTCGTCCCCTTCTCTTGCCTTCAGTCTTGCCCAGCATCAGGGTTTTTTCCAATGAGTCAGTTCTTTGTTTGATATAGGTACATTTAATTTGACTATTGTGATGATGAAAAATAGCTGAAGTTTTTGAATGCCAACTAATTAAGAAGTGACATGCTAATTTTCTAGGCTATTTTGCTCTGCCGTGGGCTTATTAAACTTTCACCCACCAATTTTATCATCTGTTCTGATTTTTTACTAAAATATTTTTTTTTGGTCATCACCAAAGACTGACTTGCATCTCTGTTTGCAAAGTTTGGCTGTAGACAGTAGCCCAAATAAAAACATAACCAGAGACAGTAACATAAATCAGTAGCACATATTTAACCTGAAACCTGAGTATATTTTCATTTCTAATACAGTGCTATTGGGTAAGTATCACTGGAAAAAGACAATTTAATTTCATATTATAACTATAGAGAGAGCATCAGCTACTTATACTGGAGCACTGAAGAAATCATTGTATCTTGGCTGCCTCATAATCAGTAGATTTTTGGTCATCACATTCATCTTGCCTCGGAATGTCATAGGATGGTTTATACTTACCCACAAAGTATAAAATGTACACATTTCTACCGTCTTGCTATTGACTTTTCTTCAAAATATGTGGCTTTAAATTGCTTATATGTATGCTCATCTAGTTTAGCTAGTTTAAGCCTGTCACTTTTTAGTTTTACATTTTAGTTTCTTAAATAGTCTAAATTAATCATCTTGTTTCTTGATGCTTTTTACAGAGCATCAACTTTTGCTTGATTACTTTTGTTTTGCCTTTGTTTAAATGTGTTTATTTTTCCAATTTTTGAGGTGTTTTCAAGGTTAAGTCCTTTATTGTTCACACCTGAACACTAATGCTACTTTTCTACTGTTAGAAGCCATTTAATGGATATCTAATTAGATTAGAAATTTGTTTCTTTTTAAAAAAATTACAACAAAGTACAGTATTTGACTTCTGAACTTTTCTAATAAAAGAAAGGTGGTTAGATTCAAAGTGACTATTGTGAAAAACCGAGTTTTACAATGTTACCATGAGACAGGTCATGTTAGCTTTTAACTGCTGCAGTGAGTAGGTTAAGCAATCACAGATATTACCCAAAATTGTCATAGTAGCCACTTGTGGACCTGATAAGTGTCAGATCATTGAGATTCTTTTGAGTTATTTGAGTATATACGCTTTAAAAAAAATCATATTTATAAGCTACAGGATGCCAAATAAATAATAATATTAAGAGTATTGTATGCCAGACACTGTTCTAATCACTGTACTTGCCTTCTAGCCTTGTGAGGTCGGTGGTATTGGTATTATCATTTTACAGATGACAGATAAGGTCTAGAAAGATTTGTGTGCCTGAGATCACACAAATGAATGTGGAAGTAGAAGGAGTGTTAGTTATGAAGAGACTTTAAGTGTTCATGTAACAGGACCTGGCTTTAAAACACTTAATCTTCTCTAAAATCACTTTGTACATTTGTAAAATATGGGTAATACTTGGCCCCAATAGGATAATTGGGATTAAATGGTAGTGGAGTGGTAAAGAATCCACCTACCAGTGCCAGAGATGCAGGTTTAATCCCTGGGTCAGGAAGATCCGCTCGAGTAGGAAATGGCAATGCGCTTCAGTATTCTTGCTGGAGAATTCCATGAACAGAGGAGCCTGGCAGGCCGTGATCCATGTGGTCACAAAGAATCAGACATGGCTGATGTGACTTGTTTGTTATTTTAAAAATTTTTTTACTGTTTTGTTACTAATCTTAATTATGAATAGGGAGATACACTGCACTGTGAAACAGTGAAGGTGGGACAGGGAAATAATGTGGGGAAATGTGGGCCTTAGCCCACATTGCTGACTTGACAGTTTGCTGCTTGCTTTCTGCTCAGAGGTCAGTTCAGTCCTGTTAATTTCTTTTGAGTTGAACTGAACCTGGCCGGCACGCTCATATAAACTTCATTCCAGTGCTTCAGCAGAGGGTTAAGTTAGTTAACATGTTTGGTACTTGGTGCTGAAAAGTATCATGTTTTTTATTACCTGCTGGTTTTTTACTGTAAAAGATAACAGTAGTCTGACCTTTTTGGATGCTGAGGGAACAGTTATGAGTAGGCAAGAACCTTCAAGGAATTCAGCAATTTGGGAGAGGAAAATAAGGCTGAATACATTGAACAGGTAGCGTCTGTGGAACACAGGATTAATAGGCAAGAGGAAAGGAAACCTTAGCAAAGTAATGATAACTCTCAAAGAAGTAGAGTTAGAACACAAATGTAGTTTCAGGAACTAAAACAATTCTGAATTCCTAAATTTAGGAGACAAACAACAGATTAGCCATGACTGGAGGCTAGCTACATCATTGTGCTAAGAAATTAAATTGAATGAATAAATAGAGAATAGTGAAGAGAAACCACACACAGAAAGTGTCAATCCTTATGTATAACTCATGGTTACCTGGAAGACAGTTTTAGACCTATCTTGAACATACTAGAAATCCTGGAAAGAGAAACAAATAGCTAGAAAAGAATTGAAGAAATGATAGAAGTAACATTTTTTAATTTAAAGATGTAAGACTGTAAGGACAAGGATAACGATCTGGTTATGAGTTGAATTGTGTCCCTCCAGAATTCATATATGGAAGTCCCTAACCCTTAGCACTTCAGAACATAACCTTATTTGGAGATTAGGTCTTTTTTTTTTTTTTTTTTAACAACTTAGAAGCAAAGGGGATTTATTTAAGTCAATGACCATGGAGGCTTCTCCTGAGAGTATTTAGGTTACATGGGTAACTGCTCTGTGCAGAATCACCAGATTAGTTAAAATACTACCAACAGTCTATATTTAATACTTATTACTTCCCTCTCATGACTGAATCACCCTGATAGCACTCTTAATACCAGTTATTTATCAAATGAAGTGTCCTAAATATTAAGGAATAGACTTGGAAAGGAGAGACTTTCCAAGGAGAGTCTTAGAAAGGAGAGACCTTCACTCTTTCCATCCCTGACCCCAACCTTCTATTCTTGCTCCCAAAGTAGCTGACTTTGACAACGGTGTCAGGGGTTTCCAGGGTGGAAGTTAGGTGGGCTTTTCCTGACTTATCTTCCTTAGGCTATGTCTAAGACCCTTTCTGTTCATTGTTAGGATTGAAGTTTATATGGGGCATCTTTGCAACCATCTCAGGCTGGTAACATCATGGGAATAAACACGCTATGCATGGTGTATTAGTGTTCTCCATAAACAGAACCAGTAGGAGATGCAGGCATATGTATAAGAGAATGATTATAAAGTATTGGCTCATGCAGTCACAGAAGCTGAAAAGTCCCACAGTCTGCCATCTGCAAGCCAGGGACCAAGGAAAATTAGTGATATAGTTCAAAGGAAGGCCTACAAACCAGAGAGCTGAGGGTGCAGATTCCAGATGAAATCTGAAGATCTGAGAACCAACAGTGCCAAGAGCATCAGCTCCATGAGTCAGGTGGTATGTGAGCATGCGAAGCCACTTTAGTCATGTCCAACTCTTTTTGACTCTATAGACTGTAGCCCACCAGGCTCCTCTGTTCAAGGGATTCTTCAGGCAAGAATACTGAAGTGGGTTGCCATGCCCTCCTCCAAGAGGAGTCTTCCCAAGCCAGGGATTGAACCCGTGTCTCTTATGTCTCCTGCATTGGCAGGCAGTTTCTTTACCACTAGCGAAGGTGAGTTCAACTTTCTTCCACCTTTTTGTTCTCTTCAGGCCCTCAATGAATTGGGTGATGATGCTGACCTGTTTTGGGGAGGGTCATCTTCTTTACTTAGTCCACACATTCCAACATTGATGTCTTCCAGGAACACTGGAAATAATGTTTAATCAGATATCTGAGCATCCCTTGGCCCACTCAAGCTGATTCATAAATTAATCGTCACACTTAGAAAAGCCTAAGTAACCATTACTTCTTATCAGGACTTGGTGATCTAGCAGTACTTTGTTCTTTGGTCCTATACCTTTAGCCTCCCTCCCCTCTCTGGTGTCACTTTGATCAGTTAGAAGCACATTTGCTTCACAATGATCTGTTTTCCCCAAGGATCCACAGTAGGGACTTAACCCCTTAAGACAGGTTTCCTCTTGAGATTCATTTAGAAGAGTACCCTGTAGGGTCTAACATAGTGTG